GCAGAATAAGACAATAAGACAAATACGAAAGAGATACAAATTAAACTCATTTTTCAGAAAAAGTAGGTTTACTTAACATTTATTTAACATCTTTTGTTGGTTAACATTAATGACACGATAGGTACTTAATTAGGAATACTGTCCCTTTAAGACGGAAGGCATGCATGTAATACTGACACACATTCAGTTTTCACCCACCTGTTTATGTTCACTTAATCCACAACGACTGTGAGATACTCTACACCAGTGATTCTCAACCGGTGGGCCGCGGCCCACTAGTGGGCCTTCGAGTGCCATCTGGTGGGCTGTGTAGGCAGTGGTAGACTAACCCAAATTAATTTTCATTTATTTTTTAATTGACAAATCTTGTTATTTTGTAATTATCTAATTGTTCTTATGAATTTATATGATCAAAAACACTCAAGTCAAGTCAAGATGCATTATCTAAAAGCTAATTTATATTTAAATATCGCAACACCAATCACGTCACAACGTCAGATTGAACGTTTGTTCGATCAGATGCAGTAACTACGTTACTGTAATATGGATCATTTTCTGAAAAGAAAAGCAGATTTGGGAGACAGATCTGTGCAAGCAAAAGCTTTGAAGTGTGTGGTGAGAAAATACGACGCTGAATACATTCAATTTGGTTTTATAAGGGCAGGTACTGAGACTAAGCCGAAGGCTCAGTGTGTTGAATGTGGAGAAATTTTGTCAAATGAGGCGCTAAAACCATCAAAGCTGCAGAGACATTTGAACTCAAAACACCCGGGCTGTGTTGGGAAGCCAAAATAATATTTTCTAAGGAAAAAAGTTGGGCTTCAGGCTCAACAAAAAGTCATAACATCGTTATCAACTCAATCAAGTCACCTTGAAGGCTAGCTATATGGTTGCCGCTCGTGTTGCTGGTAGTAAGAAAGCCTTTACTATTGCTGAGGAACTTGTTTTGCCAAGTGCTGTGGATATGTGTCGAGAGTTACTGGGTGACGCAGCTGCAACCAAAATTCAGTCAATACCACTTTCCGATGACACCATGACTAGACGAATTGTTGACATGAGCGATGACATTGAATGCCAACTCGTGGAATGAATAAAGGCAAGCCCTTATTTTGCCATACAGCTGGACGAGTCGACGGACATAAGCAACGCCGCGTTACTGTTAGTTTTTGTCCGATACTGCATGGACAGTAATCTTTGTGAATATCTGCTATTTTGCAAAGAACTTCCAACGAGAACAGTGGCAGATAATGTCATGCACTGCCTTGATGAGTACTTCATTGAAAAAGGTCTTGATTGGAAATACTGCTCAGGTATTTGCACAGACGGCGTGGCTGCTATGATGGGAAAACATCCCGGTGTCGTTAAACAAATCCAAGAGCGAGCGCCAGAAGCAAAGTGGACGCACTGTTTCTTGCACGGGGAAAGTCTTGCAACAAAGCAGATGTCACCAGAACTGCATGAGGTCATGAACATTGCTGTGAAAACTGTTAACTATATTAAGAAAAATGCACTCAACTCAAGGTGTTTTGCAGCTCTGTGTGAACGACTTGATGCTGATCATTTGCAGCTCTTGTACCACAGTGAAATACGGTGGCTTTCAAGAGGATGTGTGCTTAATCGTCTTTTTGAACTGAGAAAAGAAGTGCACACATTTCTGGAAGAGCAACGCTCCCCTCTTGCTGAGCATTACACTGATGATCAATTTTGTGCAAAACTGGCCTACTTATCTGATATATTTGATCAGTTAAATCAGCTGAATGTATCAATGCAAGGCAGAAACAGCACAGTGTTTTTGGTTTCAGACAGAATTGAGGGATTCAAGAAAAAAACTCATTCTTTGTAATAGAAGAGTCAAGGAGGGACGCTTTGACATGTTTCCACATCTGAGTGAAACATTGGAAGCCTCTTCTCATGTGAACATATCAAGTGTCATAACCCAGCACTTGTCTCAGCTGTCTCAAAAGTTTGCTGACTACTTCCCAGAGGACCCTCGACATGGAAACCTTTGGATTTTGGACCCATTCTCTGTGGATCCTGCTTCAGAAGACATGGCTCTGTCCACTGTGTTGGAAAATGAACTAATGGAACTATCAGCTGACAGTAGCCTAAAACTTCAACTCACACAAGTTGACCTTGCTTCATTTTGGTTACTGGCTGCAAGTGAATATCCCTCTCTGTCAAAGCGGGCAATCAAATTTCTATTGCCTTTCACCACCACATACTTATGTGAGTCAGGGTTCTCCACTGTGACTATCACAAAATCAAAAGCAAGGAGCAAACTGAAAGCTACTTTGGATGCTACGCTCCTTGTCAGTCTCACCCATTTCACCAATACTTGATCTTATTATCTCCAAGAAGCAAGCCCAAGTGTCTCACTGAGGGTATGCAGAATATGCATTTTGTAGCAAGGTTTGTCTCAGTATATATGGTTTTTCTCATGTGAACTACTCCAAATCACGTTCATGTAAATATGTTAATGTGTTGGGATTTATTAATGGTCCTAGAGTGGTTGTTGATGAAAACTGTGTTATTGACGTGCCACACCTGTTAGACTTAATCATTTTTGGATGTGTGGGAAGGTGTATAAGTAATGTGTCCAGTTTTTCTCCAGTTGAATTGTAAAAACAATAATATAATACATGTAACATTTACGTAATGCTTCAAGTTGGTTTTGTATGTAAGATTGTTTTAAACAGTCACGTTCATATTGCTAATTGTATTTGATAAATGACACTTACAGTATGTAAATTGGGGTGAATGAACTTTGTTGAACATTTCTGCTAATGAATAGAGATAATGTCCCCTCTTGTGTGTCTGACCTGTTGTTACAGGTATGTTAGCCTGGATGTGGGGATGTATTATTAATTAATTTGTTAAAAGCGTGTTCCCCTTGTGTGTCTGACCCAGTCATTGGTCTGACCTGCCCTGTTATTGTTACAGGAATAAATGGTTACCGAGTAAGTCTTTAAGGAGAGTTTTCATCTATATATCTGATTTGACCTAGTCTGCTACAGTGGCATAACAGATTAACAGCAGAGTATATCATTGTACTTTTTGAATTTTCTGTTATTCTGTTTTCATACTATCATATTTGGAAAGGTGGTCCTCGGGATGTTTTTAAACAGTCATTGGTGGGCCATGAGTTGCAAAAGGTTGAGAACCCCTGCTGTAGCGTACTGTAGCAGTAATTCCATTGCTTTGAATAAATTCACAGTAACATTTATTAGATATATGGCAGTGGATCAACTTAAGTATATTCATGACTTTTTATAAATACCTCTCTGCACTACTCCAAAAAAAATAACACTTTTTTTTTATATTTTAATATGTATTTATTGCATAAATTCTAATTGGAATGAGTGCATAAATCCTACTAAAGACCATTTAAATAAGATTAATGTTATAGTTATGTGATGTTAACAAAACTGTTGACAAACAACTGGTGGCTAACAAAATGGTGACAAGCAACAAAAATGACAATAAATAAGCCAATGAATTTGATCATTCAAAGCAAACATAGCACCATTTCCTTCGCAGGATGAAGGGAAAAGTGAAGTACCTGTTTATAAAGTAGTGGAGATGTAGTGAAGCTCTAAGGAAGCATGGCCTGTCAAAAGAATTTTAAGGACATTTCTGACCATAAGAACATTCCCATCTTGTTTAAAATAAAAATCTAATAAACATGGCTCTAGGAAAGTACAACTTTTGAAACTCAACTTTCCCACATAATGTTTAAACAAACTTCTTTTTAAAATAAATAAAGTATCTTATAATTATTTCAGTTAAAGACATTCAGTAAATTCCTCTGGACTATTTTATACATGAGGACAAAATATTTGCATTGATTTGGATCATATTACTATCAATTCTGCCTGTTTTAAAAACTAGACTGAAACATGTTAAATTACTGTCAGTGATTATTCGGTTTTTTTTTTTGGCTACAAATTTGTTATTTGGACGAATTTAAGTTTTCTCACAAACAGCATGTGAACTTCATGTACAAAAACTCAAAAAGGAAAACGTAAAGATATATTTGCAGTGTGAATATAAAAAAAAAAAAAAACTGCAAGAAATCTGTATGAACCTTACAAATCACATGACACAAGCATCTTTTACCATCATAAACAATGAGAAAAGCTCACAGGAACTGTGATTATTTCAAATGAAATAAATTATATTTTGCTTGAAGTAAATAAAGCCTGTCCTAGGATCATAATATTTTTGTGGCACTAAGCACATTTCCCTCCATAATCTTATTACAGTAATATGAAAATATATATTACATATTAAAGTATTTCTACATAACTTTTTTTTAAGTTGTCTGTGTCTTTATTTATTGCAGTTGTAATTTTAAATCAACTATTGTGTCCATACTGGGTGATATTAATGTATTACAGTAATCTATGAGAACAGAATGAGAATCATGAGAATAACCAAAAAACACCTCAAATGTAAAATATAACATACCTTACAGTATAAAGCTAAATAATGCTCCCAAAAACAGGCTTCATTTTCTTTACACAAAAAAAAAACAAATAAAAAATAAATAAATAAGGTGCAATATGACCTGGACATTTCTGCTATGAGATTCACTCAGTTAATAGAAACATACAGCTAGCAAACCAATTTCTGGACACTTTACAAAAACAAAGCTTTGGAGGGGTGATTTCATTGGATTATTTATTTTCACTACATCTGTCAGGAGCTTGCAATATGCCTCCAACACAAACAAGCTGGGCACTGAACCATTAGTATATAATATAAATCAAAACACAACTTGATGTTCCTGGAAATTCACACTCACCAACATTTATCCTCATCAATTATGTATAATGGCTTAAACAGCATTTCCACCCATTCCCAAAATGTCTCAATAAAAAATATAAATATTTTGTTAAAAAAATAGCAGACCAATTCCATTACATATAGAATATACATTTCTCTGTAAAATGGTTTTATGAAAAAGGCGCATTAATCAGCTGTAGTGGGTGGTATTTTTGGAGCAGCTTAGCTTTGGATTTAGGGTGGATGAGGTGAGAGGTGTCACAGCGCTGTCCCATCGCCCTGTTTTTTTTATTTTGGCCTGACTTTTGGTCTTGTTCAGTCTTCTTTTACCCTGGAAGGGTCTATCTCAACCTGGTCCAGTGAGTCTGATTCCGTCCGGCACTTTTTTGTTGGCCTGTCGAGACCCTGGCAGTCCTGTTGGTGCTCCACCGAGACGTTTCTGTCTGTGTTGTGGGTGTCTGTAAGCTTATAGCCGTTGGAGTCTGGATGATCTGTTAGTAGACTGTGTATAGACGCTCCATTCGCCTGGACAGGTTCAATCTTCACCTCGCTCACACTGCTCAACATCTGTGTGGGATCTGCACTGGAGCTGTGACTGGTGAGTCCTAAATTGGGAACCGGAGAGATACACTATACTACATAGCTGTAACAAATGGTTCAAACACACCACATACAACATGAATTCAACCTGATTTCAACAAAGTATCCTGAAATATGCACCAAAGCAATTTAATCTAATTGTAAAAAAAAAAAAAAAACAACACTATGTACTTTACCGTTGTGACTGGTAGTCTCCTCTCGCTCAGATTGGCTGGTGCTGCTGCTAGAGGCGGCAGGAAGTGGTGTGGTTGCTCGACTGGAAGCAGTGCTTTCTGTCTCATCTAAAAGTCTGTCCATGTAATCCCTAAACAAATAAAACAATGAACACACACCTTACACGGAGAAACAGCAGGACCTCAGGAAACATTACAACCAATTCACTACTATGAATCAAACTCTCCAGGGCTACAGCAGTACACTTGGACGTCTTTTCCTCTGTAACAAATTATTACTCATTACATTCTTCATACATGCTATAACAAAACTGGATGATATGGACAATAATACAGTAATGAGCTAAACAAAACTGGCCCCTTTTACCCCTACCATAAACATATGACTTGTATGTGGATAGTATTCCACATACAAGTCATATGGACTGCATATGACTTGTGTGCTTGTATTTTAGCTGGACTGCATTTACATCTTCATTCCAATGCATATCAAGTGTGGTCGGATAGAGCAGGGGTTCCTTATGCATTAGTTATGCCTATGCGTCAGTTTGACCGAATGAGCTCTAATGAGTTATACTGCAGATTAGGGCAGTTGTGGCCTAATGGTTACAGAGTCGGACTTGTAACCCAAAGGTTGTGGGTTCAAGTCTCAGGTCTGGCAGGAATTGTCGGTGGGGGGAGTGAATAATCAGCACTCTCTTCCACCTTCAATACCACGACTGAGGTGAGACCCTTGAGCAAGGCACCGAACCCCCAACTGTTGGCTGCCCACTGCTCCGGGTGTGTGTTCACTGTATGTGTGTGTGGGCACTTGGATGGGTTAAATGCAGAGCACAAATTCTGAATATGGGTCACCATACTCGGCCACACGTCACTTCACTCACTCAATAAATTTCCCTTCATGTTCTATTTTCAGGCATTAAGAGAACAACATAATTCTTGGTATATTAATGTGACATGTAATGTTCCCTCTAATTTTTTTCTTGCTGAGCAAAACTTTGGGCGGCAGTGGCGTTCCGTCCATATAAGCTGCGAATGGTCCGCATACCCAGGCCAATTGAGAGAAAAAGTTCACGGGATAATTCATATAAACATGATTATAAGTTGATCCCTTGTCATTTGAAATGTAACTTAACGCCTAAAGAGTTAGGAATAAGTACGTAAAATTATTTTTTTGCCAAACGGCAGTAATTTTCTGTAAATCTACGTCAGTTATGGTTGCTTCCGGGCGAGCGGATTCTCCGCAGCTTTCTCGCCTCCGCTCTGTTGCTATGACTCGTCAGGATTATAGTGCGTTCTCAGTGATTTGCTGGTCTGCGGCAGATCTAATGTGCGAGGTAAGCTGTTTGCAAAGCACTCGACCAAGCGGAAAAATGCGCTGTTGCTGCCAGATCTCGATTGCCGACAATTATTTACATTGTGTTTGATGCAAAACCAACTCGACTAAATCAAAAGAAAAAAAACACTTCACTGTATATTTTTATTTTCTCAAGCAAAGCAAATTTTAAAAGTCCACTGAACAACTTACATTTTTGGTCATAGACGATGTATGTTGAAGATATACGTTATTGTCAACGTTATTGCCTAAGCGGTAAATTAAAAAAAAAAAAGTTTATAAAAACAAAAACAAAAACAGACAAATTCAGGGCCTGAATTTCATTTTTGAAAATGGGGGAAATTCCCCTTAGGTGACTCTTGTGGGGGAGATTTTTTTATTTGAGGGGTGGAGGGGAGGTTTTTTTTTTTTTTTTTTACATTTTTAAAAAATATATAATTATCTCATCTAAATGTTTGATCATGCAGTGCATTTTTGTTTTTATAATGGGGCAATTGTTGCACAATAGCTTACACACAGCACAAGTCTGATTTTGTGAACTGTATGTGAGGCGGCCTTACGCCAGGTTCACATATACTCCGTTTTCAGTGCGTATCCATGTGCGGTACGTAAGCGGTGCAGAAGCAGCACGGACTCATATTCTGCTTTCACACAGGATCGAGTCCGCCACTGATCCACGGCTGTTTACCACAAACACAACATTTATCCATTTTGATTCTGTTGTGCATTGTGATTCTGTTTTTACGCAGTAAAGTAATACAATCTTTCATAGACGTGTTTAAACGCAATAAATATAAGCAAGAGTATGTGTGAACCTGGTGTTATGTGTGCGCGCTATGAGTGTGCATGAGCGCACCGCCTCTAGGAGAGTGTGCGCAAGTGCTGAATGGTTTACACACTGGCAAGAATTAAAAAGAAATGAAAATTGGAAACTTTAGTGATGATACAACACTGCCTCGATTGTGCAAGTGACAATTCCTACAAAACAACATTAAACTCCGGCAAGAAGATAAAGTCCTTTTTGCAAAATCATAGACATGTATTTACAAATCAATTATAATGGGAACACAGAATGATCTTGGAGAGAGCTTTACCGAGCTGACTGATGTAACCGAACGTGACCAGGGTTTAAAGGCCGAACGAATGACTGACAGCCACAGCGGAGAAAAGAGTTTGGGTGAACGTTAATGTAAGGACTTAAATATTCATATGTAGCTCACATTAAGCTATCGTATGGCTTCAGAAGTAACACAGAATA